TTCTCTTTCTTCTCTTTCTTCTCTTTCTTCTCTTTCTTCTCTTTCTTTTCTTTCTTTTCTTTCTTTTCTTTCTTCTCTTTCTTTTCTTTCTTTCTCTCTTTCTTTTTCTTTCTTTCTCTCTTTCTTTCTTTCTCTCTTTCTTTCTTTCTCTCTTTCTTTCTCTCTCTTTCATTCTTTCTTTCTCTCTCTTTCATTCTTTCTTTCTCTTTCTCTCTTTCTTTCTTTCTTTGTCTTTTTCTTTTTCTTTCTTTCTTTCTGTCTCTTTCTTTCTCTCTTTGTCTTTCTTTCTTTCTCTCTTTCTGTCTCTCTTTCTTTCTCTCTTTCTGTCTCTCCTTTCTTTCTCTCTGTCTCTTTTCTCACCCTCCATTCATTCCGCACACCCCCACCCACCCAACACCATTAAAGCTGAAATTGAGGTGGACTAAGGTGAAATTTATATATATTTTTAATTTCCCTAAATTATTTCCCTCATAAAATATATATGCCATACAGTTGGTTATTAGAAGTTAATATGAATTAAACAAGTATTTTGTTTGACTTCTCTCATGCAGCTTTTCTTGTCGGGAAATGATGTGATCTTTAAGTTAATTAGATATATAACGGTCCGTAGGTCCATACTAAAGCTAAAGTCAACTATAGGTTTTCAAGTTCCCATTAAAAAAATTCTAGACAGACTGGAAACCAGCCAGCATTTGAAACGTGTATTTCTATTGTTTACTTTGGATGACAATTTGATTTGCTTGAATTTTGATTTAGGTCTCATTCTTCAGCAAAGAATGACACATCAGAAGAAGTGATTGTTACGAATTACAACTTTAGTCTGTCACAAAATCACCAAATCTTTACTAGACAGAAACAATTATTTCTAAAGTGCTTAAAACTATTGTATCACATTTTCTGTAGCTTTAAGGACCAACTTTAAAACTAATTGATAAATATTTAGTTTGTTTTAAATAATATTTTGCTGTAAGTCCTCTTTGTCCTCCTATAAAGGGAATAATTTACCATAGTTTACTCGATTCTAATAGTTTTCTGATATCTGAAGAAAACTGGCTGCGTGGTTTCTTGTGGACAGTGGTGGTGAGGTGATCACAGCTCAGCTCAATACGATGCTTCCATTTGTTTTACTCTTTTGTTCTAATCAAGTTTTCTGGTCCCTCCAATGTCACTCTGGTTGTCATTGCTTCATTTGACACAGATGGATTGGACCTTTCTATCCAACAGAGCTCAGTAATAGCCCATGTATTTCACTAGTGAGCAACTGGGCGATATGACATTATTCAGTTGTGACATATTTTGTTGGGAAATATTGACATTTAAAGTTATAGCTTTACTGTTGAGTTTCAGAAGCAAATGTTGAAGCAAAGCCAGTCATTTTTTAAAATGGAACTCATTTACATTTGCATCTTCCATTTTACAATTTTAATTGAACTGTGGAAGTCATGTTTCTTCTTCCTTAATACTAGATTCAAGCAGTATGTCTTGTCTTTTGTCACTCTGATTGCATAGTAGGATTAGTTTACTTATTTACTGGAGACCTACGGGCGCAACACGCTTAGTTTATTTGTGTCTTAAACCAAATACAGTATCTTTTGTATTATTAATAATTGTAATTATTTCATACAAGCCTTTTTAAATCAAGGTGAGCATTCAACTTCTATATAAAATGAATATTTTTAAACTGTTGTAAAAGCAAAATTTTTAAATCTACCAAGGCAGTCTTCTTTGATTTTAAAGTTAACAAGAAACTTCAGTTGTGCTGGTTTAATATTTTTCTTAACTTTTTTTATTGATGAAGATGAGTTGACTGAAAAGACACAACATTAATTATGAAAAAAATGGGGGAAAATATTATAATGACGAATGATTTATTTTTAGGGGGAGAAAGATCTTTGAGCCTCCCAGGTTTATGTCTGTGAGTCAAGCTGCGGAGCAGCTGCTTGAGATAATTGAAAACCGAAGAGATAAAGGAGAGGAGCTGGGTGAGTATAAGTATTTCTCTGTTTATTAATGAGATTATACAAGAGCTTACTTTTGTCAATGAAATTAAATATTTATATTCCGTTCCCTTTGAAATAAAAGCAGAGACGTTTTGCTAAAACTACAAGGTACTAGTCAGAGCTCGAATACTTGTGACTGTTTTGAACGCCTTATCTAAGGAAAGATATACTGGCATTGAAAGCAGTCCAGCGAAGATTCACTTGGGTTAGACCTGCAGTCATTGGAGTTTAGAAGACTGAGAGGTGACCTTGATAAAACATACAAGATTCTTAGGGGTCTTGACAGGGTAGATGTACAAAGGTTGTTCTTCCGAATGGGAGAGTCTAGGACCAGAAGCCAAAATCTCAATGTGGGATCACACATTTAAGACCGAGATGAGGAGGAATTTTTTTTTATCAGAGCGTTGTGAATCTGTGGAGTTCTTTACCACAGAGGGCTGTCGAGGCTGGATCATTAAGTACGTTCAATGCTGAGATGGACGGATTTGTAATCATTAAGGGAATCAAGAGGTATGGGAGAAAAGGTGGGAAAGTAGAGTTGAGGGTTATTATCAGCAGTCATGATCTCAATGAATAATGCAGCAGCCTCTACGAGCTAAATGGCATATTACTGCTCCTACATCTTATTGTTCTAAACAATGTTTGCTTTCTGCAGCTGAAGTTTGGTCAAAGAAGAACTTACTTTATACCATATTACCCCTTCGATATCCTCCAAGGACATCAACAATAGCTGTAGCTAGCACTTTGAATGCATGTACAAGGAATAGACTATTTTGCCCCTCAAGTCTGTTTGGCTATTTGACAAGTCCATGGCTGATCTAACCGTGGCCTGAATTCTACGTCACTATCTACACCGTTTATCCTTGGACTCTCTTGATAGTCATGAATCTATCCACTCTGTCTTAAAAATATTGAAGACCTTGTCTCTGCCATTCTGTGATGGAGAGAATTATGCAGACTCATGACCATTTGAGAGAAAAAAGGTCTTCTTATTTACATCTTAAATAGAAGACCTTTTTTTTAAACTGTCTTGAGTTCAGGTTTCTTATACAAACATTTGAGTTAGAAGCAGGGAGTAGGCCATTTGGCCCCTCAAATCAACTCCACTATTAATTAAGATCATGGCTGATCTGACTCTACATTCCTACCCGCTCCTGATCATCATTCACCCACTTACTTATCAAGAATGTATCCACCTCTCCCTTGAACATTTTCAAAACCTCTGCTTCCACTGCATTTTGAAGAGTTCCAAAGGCAATTAACTATCTTAGAGAAAAGAATCTCCTTCATCTCATAAAAGTATACATCCTCTCAGCATCCTCCCTGATAACAGCCCACTCGAATCTTCTGTTTCATTATGAGCATTTCACATTCTTCTCAATTCTAATGAATTCAGGTCCAACCTTTCCTCATAAGATAAGCCCTCCTCCCTTCCATCTTAGGAATCAGTCAAGTGAACCTCTGTTGAACTGCTTTTGATCCTGTATCTTTTCACGAGTAAGGACATTGTTTGTGTATTATGTATGTATACTGTGTGCAATTTTGGACACCCACACATTTTACATCTGAGTATTAAAACCAAAAATGTGATTGGTCAGGAGTTAAAGTCCAGTTGAGTCCTGAAGATGGGAGTTGGAGATGATGCTCCTTGTTTACAGGGAATTTTTTGGGCAAATACACAAACCTTTCCAGAAACAGGATTTGAGAAGGCTTAAACTTTCAGGCAGACCCAGTTGTTACCCTGGAGTCCTGTTTTCTGTTCCTAGCAGGCAGACTTCGATGTTTAAAGCAGACTGATTGAAAAGTTCAGAAAGGTACGATTAAAGATCTTCAAAATGCAGAGGAGTTTTGATCATGATGCTGTCCATTAATGATTCACGTATGTGACACGCGTTTCTGATGTGGTGCACAAGAAATCAAGCCCAGGGTGTCACAAAGTTAAAAGCTTTTAAAAGAAATACAGAACATCCCCAAACTATCTGATTTTCAGACTCCACTTGATAGAAAGCATAGACCAAGTTTCTACACTTAACAAAATTCACTGTTTATGACAGGCTATTAGATTCTAACTACAGGTAAATAATTAAGCTAAATTAAATAAACTATACAAATTAAAACTGATCCCCTTGTAAGCTCCCTCTTACACAAACACACATACACAAAAACAAACACAAACAGGAAATAAAACATAGGCAGAGGGAAAAGCTGGGAAACAGTTCTGTAGTTTTATCTTTGGGTTGGTTCTTGCTTATCCACAACCTTCTCGTCACCCTTCTTTTTTCTGAATGCTTCCGCCAGTTTGCAAGAGGTGTAGGGTGGCTGATTCATTCATGAAAAGCTTCTGACTAATCCAATTCGAAGTTACAACTTGCAACATCAATTGAAGGAAATATAAGGTGGTTTGCTTCAGGTTTAAAGTGGTTTACTGCAGAGACCTGTGAGATTGTGTTTTTCGCTGCTGCAGATCGGGTTTCTGTTCTGGCAGAACTATCTTCTCTCTGTCTCTCTTTAACACCCCAACATGTTCAGCTAACTGACAGTCAATAATCAGGCAGAGAACTTTGTCATTGATTACTAGCCACTGGTCCACAAACCAGTCAGCTCCATGTGTAAATAACTCCTCAACTCCAATTCATCTGCACCCACAGATACACAAACAGGGTTCATAAAAAGGATCACATTCCTTACTCCCAAACATGCAGCCATCCTTGTAAATTCCTAGTTCAAATCAGTTCTTTCTCATTTCAGTCCACAGTTTTTTTTAAAAAAAAGCAAAACAATACAAAGACACCACAGTCTTCACATAAGCTAACAAGGGAGCTTCTATCCCTTTGGTCAAAAACAACTGAACACTTTAGGAGATAGATTGTGTGGCTTTTAACACCTTTGCAGTTATAATGAGTTTATATATATATCTGTTTTGTTTTCAGTTTGGCTGCTGAGACAGATGGTCTGTGTTCTTTGTGTTACGCTGTTTTGTAACATGTTCCCATGATAATAGGTACAGAATTTTACAAGCGTGTTTGATCTAGATATGGCCTTCTGCTGATACTAGTTTCCAGAATCACTGTCAACTTGTAAACTACTTGATTTGTGGCTATTTTAAAAATCTAGCAAAATCCATTTTTAAACCAAAACACAGTTTTTAAACAATTGAAATGTCATTTGTATCCCTCAGCCTCTGCTCCAGGAAATATAGCCCCAGCCTATTCTGCCTCTCCCAATACCTGAAACCCTCCAATCCCAGCAACATCCTTGTAAATCTTTTCTGAACCCTTTCATGTTTAACAACATCTTTCCTATACCAGGGAGACCAGAACTGAATGCATTATTCTAAAAGTGGCCTCACCAATGTCCTGTACAGCTGCAACATGACATCCCAACTCCTATACTCAGTGCACTGACCAATGAAGGCAAGTGTGCCAAACACCTTCTTCACCACCCTGTCTAGCTGCAACTCCGTTTTCAAGGAAATATGTACCTGCACCCCTGGGTCTCTTTGTTCGGCAACACTCCCCAGGGCCCTGCCATTAATAGTATATTAACAGACAGAGAGATAGCAAGAACTGCAGATGCTGGAGTCAGAGATAACAAAGTGTGGAGCTGGAGGAACACAGCAGGTCAGGCAGCATCAGAGGAGCAGGAAAGCTGATGTTTCAGGGCAGGACCCTTCTTCAGAAGAGCCCCATTTCTGAAGAAGGGGACTGATGCAAAACATCAACTTTTCTGCTCCTCTGATGCTGCCTGGCCTGCTCTGTTCCTCCACCTCCACACTTTATTATATTAACAGACAGCCCTGGTTTGCCTTACCAAAATGCAACATCTCACATTTATCTAAATTAAACGAAATTAAGTCAAAGTCATAAATTCAAACTCCATTCCTGAAAAGCAGAGCATAGTTTTATCTATCAAGCAGTGTTGGAGGTGAGGTGAAATGCCCAAAAAATGTCTGAAATGTGGCATGAGCCTCTAGGTTTCACTGGGACATTTTCCAGGGTGGCAGGGCAGCCCTTGCAGAATTGCTTGGTCAGTCATTTAGGTGTTTCCATAATTGAGTCAAACCAGAATTCTGGTTATAACAGCCTGTGTGTTGAGCTGTGTCGAACTCACCAGGATCAACAAGGCAAGAACACAGAAGGCAATCATTGGTCAATGAAACTGACTGGCTAGAAAGCCTTTAAACAATGGACAGTCCAGATGATGTCCTGTCTTTTCGAAAGGCTTGTGCTCACAGCACTTGTTCTGCAAAAGTTATTTCATCTACCTGGGGTATCTTTAGCTTCGTATGATCTACTTCCTTTCTGTGAGCCTGCATTTCAGTATGTGAGCAATTTCTGGAGCTGTAAGAAAGACCTACGATGGGGAACCAGAGCAGCAATTAGTAGCAGCCAAACCAGGAGCAGTAGTAACTAGCAGCAGGAGCAGCAACATGGCTGCCTTCTCTGCATCGACATGTCATTTCACAGCACTGGATGAACTCTGTTCACTTTGAAGGAAATAATATTTCTGTAAAAGAGAATACATTCATTGGATTAGCTTCCTTGACATGACTGAGTAACAGTGCCTCGAGAAGCTGAGGCCTTTGTGACAGATCAATGCTGACATTAGCTCTTTTGAATACAACCTCCTTGCCCAGTGGACCAGATGAGCACACATTAGCAGTTCCCATGAAGGTTGGCACAACCTCAATTTTCTTTACCTCAGCTTGCTTGCAGGGATTTGCCAACATTCAGTGTTCCTTCCAGCTGATTGTTGCCATGTTTCTCAGGGTCACCATTTCCATCAACTTGACACTGAGGACAATCAGACAGTGGCTTTGGCTGGATTCCCGCTGGTACAGGGAGTCATAGGTTGTGCATGTGGGCGATCGAGGCACCCTAACATAGGGCCTCATGTATTTTTCAATCAGAAGGAATTTCACTCCATCTGTATTCAGCTTGACTGGGATGTGGGTTCTCACAAAGATCTGTGCAAGGTATCCT